CGCTGGAAAAGCCACCCATGCTCCCATACCTGAAATGATAACATAAAAAACGCTAAAAAACTATGATGATTGAGCACCTAGCCGCTTTTTTTGGAAATGGGGTAGACTAAGAAACAGACTTCAAAAACAATTCACAACTCACAACGTAGTGAGCATGCCAATGTTAGGGCCCCCGGGTGCTTTTGTTTAGGATTCAAAAACTATAAACTCACATGAAGGAAAACAAAATGAGTGCCAACATTGGTGTCGAGCAGTCGACGAACAACGCTACCAATAAAAAAGCCAAAGCACTGCCGAAACTTGCTGAAAATTTAGCAGTTAACTTGGCACAGCTTAAAAATCGAGAAAGTGTGATCATAAGAACGGGCTTTTGGGAAAGGAAAACCGTGAAGCAAAATTTAGAATGAAAGTTGCTAATGTCAAAGTAGGATCAGAACAAAATAGGAAGTTACAATAAGTACTATTTTGGGTCCGCTGCCTAAGGATTGACAGTTTTTGGGAGGAATTGAAGGAAAACCTACCGACACTTTGTGAAATACGAACAGCGAACGTTGGGGTGATGAGCTTCTTCGATTTCAGTCGATCCATCAGAATACCCCAAGAGATCTTGCAAACAAGGTTCACCACGTTTGGTAGTGATGAAAAAGTGCCATTCTGAACGGGTTTCACTTTATCACCATTGAATTTAGGTAATGTTTCTGATAGATCATAAAGAACCCCAGTGACAGACAAAGCTTTTGGCTTAGGAATCGGCTTGGAGCCTTTTCTAGACCCCACACTCCTATCCGTTTCACTTCGGTAGGAGACCCCACAGGCTTACACTCTACAGTTGAGGGTGTACAGTGATCAAAATTGATACAAAAGTTAAAAGAAATGCTGACCGATCTTCTATGCTCAAAACAGTGGCAATCAAAGAGAAAGCAGTGGCGGAGTTGCCGATTTGGAAGCCCCAAATTCTGGTTATGCAGCTTTCTTATCCCACAAAAGCCTCTGGTTTTCATCCAAAAAACGGTTTCATCACCCAAGAAGCACAGAGTGCTGTAATTTCAAATGGTGGGGGGGGGGGGGGGGGGGNAGGGGGAAATTCAAGTTGGAACTGCTGGCCTCCATAAAACAGCCGGGACGTGAGTGGAAGTTTTGTAGTAAAGATTCAGAAACTCACGGCGATAACGCCCAGATAAAGAACGTCCTTCAGAAATGAAGGCATATAGAAGTGATAGAATGTCATAGTGAGATTTGTTGTGTAGAAACACAACAGTTGGGCGAGAAATGGTGGCGAAGTGAACATACGTGCGTAAGGAACTGAACTCAGTTTCTAAAAATATTGAATAATCTGTTTGTTGATCGGATCCCTTCGAAAGGCAAAAACGAGGACACCATGTTACCGAAAAACTGAAAACAGGCACCTGAAATCACCTACTAAACAAATAGCCAGACATAGCTACCCAGAAATAGCCAAACGTCAAGTCACCCGAGGTTGACCCTAAGGGTACCAATACGGCAGTGGAAATTTCTCTATTGGAATCAAGATCTTCCCCTATCCTCCCCTCAAATTCCTGCTCGTGTTTCGAAGGTCTTTCCGGAACTAGCCTTCCCACGAAATACTCAGTGCCGCTCAGTAGGCACGATTTTCATAATGGTTACCGAACAAGTTTTCATCCATGAGTGCGGATGTGATGCTGTCACGCGGAAGTCGCGCAGCCTCAAATGGTACCACCGCTACCATTCTTACCTTCAGGGAATCGAGCCTAGGATCAGAACCCGCGTAAACGATCAAATCTCTTGTCATTCCAAGGTTCTTGAGGAAAGAAGGCTGACCAGGTGATCCACTGACACCACTGATATGTGCTGAGATACTGGGCCACTTTGAGCTGAGCGTTGCACGATAATATCCAATCTTCCTCGAACTTTCGAACGATAGGCAGAAACAAATGTAAAAGTATGAAGTGTACAAACGAATTAACTGAACTACTTACTGATTTTCGATTGTTACTGTGCACAATATTCGCCGTAAGATATTCATACTCTTTTTGTGATATGCGTTTACAATTCCTAGGATGATCTGTTGAAGTAAACATCCATAGCACACACCATAGACTTCCGAAAATGGCTAAAATTCAAGAGTAAAACTTAACAGAAATCAAAGCTCTTGTGAGGAGTGCACAAATAAGTATGAGGAGTGCCCAAATAAGTATGGGATTTTTTTTTGCTATCTGTAGGGGTTCTATAGAAGGATTTGATTATATATAGTGC